TTAAATACTTGAAGGATTCTCGAGCAAAAGGGTGACTTCGTTTTTTTTAAATTCTTTTAGTTAGTTTAGTTTATTTTCTTAATTATTTTTTTATTTCTCATTTGGTTTCATTTTTTTGTGTTTTATGAACATACTTCAAGACGAGTGAGGGCGATTTATTGCGAGGCCTCAACTAGTGTTTGAATCACTTTCTAACCCTCTTTTTGATATCGCATCTGTTGGTACGAATATCACACTACACAACACAATGTCTAATAGTGAGCATGACAATGCGTCCTATAGGACCTTTCATGATTAACTTCACCCCACATGCACATCTACAATGTCATGCATCATGTTTCTATCTATCATGCCACGTATGGACCTGAAATCGGGAATGATTCAACTTCTTCCAAATTTTCATGGTCTTGAAAGTAAAATTCCATACGTGCATAGTAGGGAGTTTGAGCAGGTAGTAGCAACCTTCCATAGTCAACATGGTGTATTGGATGTAGTCAGGCTAAAATTGTTCCCATTTTCACTCAAAGAACGAGCAAAAAGCTGGCTATATTCACTGCGACCACGTTCGATTGGGACTTAGGCTGAAATGACTCAAGTATTCTTTGGCAAATACTTTCCCCATTATAAAACAACTGCTTTAAAAAAACAAATTTATTCTTTTGTCCAAATGGACAATGAAACTTTATACCAAACATGGGAAAGATACAAAGAATTACAAACCCTTTGCCCCTACCGCGATTATGAAAGTTGACGTGTTGTGAGTTACTTTTATGAGGGATTATTACCTAGGGAGTGCCAATTTGTGAAAATGATGTGTAATGGTGAATTTCTACAAAAAGATCCAGATGAGGCTATAGAGTACTTAGATGACTCAGCCAAGAAAGCCCATACCTGGACTGAACCTAGGGTTCGCAATGGGCCGAGCCGGCTAATGCCACGAGCTCGGCTCGTACTAGTGGCGAGCCGAGCTCGTGGGCTCGGCTCGTTGAAATTGGGCGAGCTCGGCTCGTGGGCTCGCCTACTTTTATATATATATATATAAAATAAAGAATAGAATTTTAAAAATAAAAAGTGTTAAAAAATACAAATAATTTAACGAAAACATTTTTTTATTTTTTTTATTTATATCATATTGTAATTTGTAATACTTTTTATAAGGTATAAAATATTAATATAATGAAAACGACTTATTTTTTGAAATACATTTACAAAAAATATTTTTGTTGATTTCTTTTTAAAGTTAATAAAGAATAGAGCTTTAAAAATAAAAAGTGTTAAAAAATACAAATAATTTAACGAGAACAAGTTTTTATTTTTTTTTATTTACATCATATTATAATTTGTAATACTTTTTATAAAGTATAAAATATTTATATAATGAAAACGAATTATTTTTTGAAATACATTTACAAAAAATATATTTTTTTGATTTTTTTTTAAAGTTAATAAAATGTAAACCCTCCTCCTTTATCCGGGCTTGGGACCGGCTACATCAATTTTAAGTAGGCGGAGTTAAAAATTGTACACGAACAACTTGTTGTATCGTGTACAATTTTTTAAAGAAAATTAAATTTAACGATTAAAAAATAAAAAAAATTTGATTAATATAATTAAATCAAATATAACTTACCTGACGACATGCAATTTCAGCGTATTTATCTTGTAGTCGAAAATGAGCGTCCTGCCAATCCTTCACACACATTAACGCTTCCAAAACATCTTCTTTCAGTCGGTTGCTGACATCAGTCAAAACCCTTTTACCTGCACTAAAAGTAGACTCCAAAGTAACAGTGCTAACCGGAGGTGTCAATAGATCTTTCCCAATTGCAAAAACAATTGGCCAACGTCTTTCATACTTTCGCTAGAATTCAATTACTTCTTCTGAAGTTTTTTTAATTGTTCTGTCCGTTAGCATATTATGATTGAAATAATCAATTAATTCGGCAGGCATCGCATTTTGAGTTTCGGCTGATGTTTGATGAGATGTAGATGTAGACGACATGGTACTAGATGAACACATTGCAGTTGCATCATATCTAAATGTATTAATGCCTGGAAATAAATTCATTATTTCCGCAGCATCTTCTTCAGTTTCAGCAGAAGAAGTAGGTGCAGCAGAGGGTACCCGACTAACATTTGCACCCATTCTTTCCGCATATTAATCATACATTCCACATAATATTTGCTCTAAATTTTTATAGGTGATAGGTGTATCAAGTATTAAAACTTTATTGATTTGATCAATTACGTATTTAGTTCCTGAAATATTATATCGGTGGTCCATTGCACATGCTAAAGGAAATAACATAGTCAGTTCTTCCCAATATTTTCTAAACTTTAATTCCATAGCAATTAAAATTTCACTAAAAGCAGGATCATTTTTATATTTATGGAATGTTCTTGCAATTATATAAAGGCGTTCAAGCACCATACAACTTGTGGGATAATAAACGTCGGATAAAATCTTTGTGGTCTCATAAAAAGATGTCAAAAATCGTTTAACTTTCAAAGCTAAAATCCAATCGGATTCATTTAACATACCATCATCATCACTTCTAACATGTCTATTATTATAAAAGTCAGTTATTAAATTTTTGAAACCTTTACATGATTTTAATAGCAAGTATGTAGAGTTCCATCTATGACCTACGTCGCTAACAAATGTTTTAGCAGTCATCACCCCTAGTTCGGTACAAAAATCTTCAAATGCTTGTTTTCTACTAGGAAAGATCGTAATATAAACTAATGCATTTCTAATCCTTTGAAGTTCATCCTTTATATGTTTTAAACCATCTTTCACAATTAAATTCAAGATATAACACACACAACGAATATGAAACAAATACCCACCAAAATCAGGTTGAAGTGTCCTACACAATTTATCGACGACTATCTTATTAACACTAGCATTATCAAAAGTAAAAGATCGAATTTTACTCTCACAATGATATTCTCTAACAATACTGATAATAACATTATATATATTATTAGCATTGTGAGGAAATTCAATAATTCTAAAAACAATAATTTTCTTATGCATGCACTAAAGTGGGTCTATATAGTGTGCGGTTGCAACTATATATGCTCTTTTATTAACCCCTTCCCATATATTAGAAGTCAAGGATATAACACCCCCATATTGTTGCAAATCCATAATTAATTGTTGTTTTGAATTATTGAAATAATTTATTGTATCGGCACGAAGAGTGTTTCGACTTACCCCAACGTACCTTGATTGTAGATATTCTTTCACGAACGAGACGAAGTGTTGGTTGTCTGCAATAGCCAGAGGCAACTCAGTGGCGGCAACAAATTTCACCATTTCAGTTCGAGTCTCGTCCTCTGAATACACCCACGTGAATAGGGGTGAAGTTGTAGAACCGACGCCTGGACTGTCAAATTGTAATTGTGTTTGACCAGCTAGAAGAAGTCCATGTCTGGCTGCACATGATTCGTAGTGGCGGTTAAGATGAGTGGTACCAATTCCTTTTTGCCATGCCAATCTTTGTTGGCAGTATTTACATACTGCTTTAGATTCTGCAAGGCCATCAACGACTTTTCCCGTTGAAATCAACTTAAAGTGGTTCCAACATTTTGCTTGTTTTTTGGCCTTACGCTTTCCCCTCGCATCTAGGATATTTAATTGCTGATCTTCATCTTCATCTTCCGCTTCAGGAACGTTAATATCATCCAAATCGATTGGAATGTGGCTTCCCTGACCGTGAATGTGAACATCTTCAGGTATCGGTATGTCATTTAGACCGACAAATTCATTTGGAAATTGACTTTGCAGCGTACTAGGCGATTCTCTATGATGTGGCAATGGCTCAAATCCTGTATCAAACAAGCTCTCAGCAAATGAACGTTGATCCATTTCTGTGATTGTTTATGATGAAATCTTGACTAGATGAATATAAATGTAGTGAGATTGTGAGAATTGAGAATTTGATGAATTGAAATTGTAACTAATAAACTGGAAAAATTGAATTGATATTGTATATTTTGCAGCACAAGAGAGTAAAAACTCGATAATTGATATAATAAAAGAGAGTTGAGACTTGAGAGAGTTGTAATCTTGGAAGAGATTGATATGAAAAAAAATTTTTGGGGGAAGGGGGGGAGAAAAGAAAAAAAAAAGTTCAGTGACCAAATGGTCACTGAACAAGGCTTGACAAGCCACGAGCCCGGCTCGTGGCTCGTCCAAACGAGCCGCCCACGAGGGGCTCATCTACACGGCGAGCCGAGCTACGGTTGAGGCCCACTCAGCTCGTGCTCGGGCTCGTGATTTCACGAGCCCGAGCCGTCCACGAGCCCCTTTTTCACGAGCCGAGCTGGAGAACCGCGAGCCGGCTCGGCCCAATTGACATCCCTAACTGAACCTAGTGCCACTGAGAGTACTAATAGGGTACTACCCACTAGAAACACCACTAGCATAGGCATTTATCATCTTAGGGAAGAGGATGACCTTAGAGCCAAGGTAGATGCCCTCACTAAAAAACTCAAAATCTTACGTGCTAGGGACTTAAAGCCTATACATAGAATGTATCCCATGTTGAATCTTTAGGACCGTGTTTTATTTGTGGTGGAACTGATCATCCAGCTCAAGAGTGCGCTACGTACGATGAGATGAGGAGAGTTTATGAGTAATACTGCAATGCCTTTGGCACATATTAAAAGCCTTATTCTCCCTTTTTTGAAACATACAATCTAGGACGGCGGAATCACCCCAATCTCAGCTGGATATCTGAAGGCCTGCCAAATAAAGCTCACACTACACCTCCATATCAGTCCACATCCTCTAGAAACTCTTTAGAAGACATTCTACATGCATTTATAGAGGCACATAGTAAGACTAACCAAAAGTTTGAGACTATGATCACCCAAATTGTTGAAGAAAACAAGGAAATAAAATCTCATATGTCCAAACTAACTAATGCTTAGTTGTAGGAGAGCATGAAAAATTCTAAGCGCAAGCTCAACCGAACCCTAGGGGGCAACACATGGCACAAACTTCAGAATCAGGAAAGACCAACTTAAAGGAAGTGAATTCCATAACCACTAGATCTGGAAAAGTCATAGAACTAACCCCCAAACCTAGGGAATGTGAGAAGGATCCCAGTATCATAGAAAAGAGCACCCCTAGTGAGGAGGTAGTGAAAAATCCGTCTAGAGTACCCTTTCCTCAAGCCCTCAAGTCAACCTCAAAATCTTCTAGTCAACATAGTGAAATCTTAGAGCATCTCAAGCAAGTAAAAGTCAATCTACCTCTCTTGCACGTGATTCCCCAGGTCCCCATATATGCTAAAGTCCTTAAGGACTTGTGTACTGTAAAAATGAAGCACCGTGTCAAGAAAATTGCCTTCTTGACTAAACATGCGAGTGTCGTAATTGAACAAAAAGTCCCACCAAAGTATAAGGACCCTGGTTGTCCTATTGTTTCTTGTATCATAGGGAACCATGAGATTGCACAAGCTCTCTTCGACTTAGGGGCTAATGTCAACATCATGCCTTATGCTATATACTTGGCGTTAGGTCTAGGTGAGATCAAACCAACTATAGTGGTCCTACAATTGGTTGATCGGTCCACTATTAAACCTAGGGGGGCAGTTGAAGATGTACCAGTACAGATTGACAAATTTTGCTACCCTGTGGACTTTTTGGTTTTAGATGTGAAAGTAGATGTGAATGTTAACTCCAAGATTCCCATTATTCTTGGTAGACCTTTTCTCGCTATAACTAACGCTCTTATCAATTGGAGGAATGATTTGATGAAGCTATCTTTTGGGAACATGACCTTAGACGTCAACATCTTTCACGTCATGAAACAGCTTGAGGAAGATGATGAGTGTCATCAAACATACATGACTGATGCACTCGTTAAGAAGGAAGCACATGCGCTTATTGACCCCGACCCTTTAAATTCTTTCTTTTTAAATTCTGAAATTCCTGCAAGGTATGATAATGGAGAATATGCTAATATTTATGTTGCTTTTAATGATTTTTAGGATTATGGGACACCACCAATGACTACTTCCAATGAGTTTGGTGCAATGCACCGAAGGTTGACAACGCCCTGACTGGATGCGGGCTGAAGAAGGTAATATTGGGTCAAGCCAGCGACAATAAACAAAGGTGCTGCTTGGGAGGCAACCCAAGGGGAGTTCGTTCCCTTCTCTTTCTTTTTATTTTCATTTATACATTGTCTCTAGGTTTAATCCATGCATTATTCATTGCGTTCCTTTTATTTTTCATTTTCTGCATCACCCTTTCCATTGAAAACTTTTAGATATCTTATACTTCAGCTCATGTGATTCACTTCGACACTGAGGTGACATCTTTCCTTACCTTTATTTGGTAGACATGTTTTTGCATTTAAGACAATGCAATGTTTTGTTGGGGGAGAATTTAACTTAAATTTTGTTGTAAATTACATGATTTACATGGAATTTTAGTCTAAATTTTTTTAAGTCCCTAATTCGCTACATATTCTTCAATGACAATATATGCCACTAGGAATTAATGTTGTTTATGAAAGTTTGGATTTTGAGACATTTGCTAAATCTTTTTGCTTACACAAACCTTGTGGTAAGATAGTGGTTTAACACATGTGGGTAGAGTAGTTTCTTGCTGAAGTTTTCTTGTGAGAGTTAGTGAGGATTGAGAACCACCTTACACTAAAATAACAATGAGCAGTCATTGATTTTGTGAATTGAAAACTATTTTGAGAATATATGGCTTGTGGTAAGATGGTAAGTTACTTGGGAAATGATGAAGGTCAATTTAGGATTAACATTTAAGCCTTTCAAACCTTTTTTTTCAATAATTACAACCCTTAGTGATCATGTTGAGCCATACACACATGTATAGCATTTTCTTCATATACCCATGTTATACATACTTCTCCACATTGGAGTATAGTCTATTCATGTATTTATCCAACTTTTTACTTCCAAGCGTGTAGTAAGTATTGAATACTTATTTCTAAAAAATAGAAGCAAGAAAATGACAAGGGTTAGTATGTGCTCAAGCAAAAACCAAAAGACAAAAAAAAAAAATTGATTGATTTTGGGGTTGAAATATTAAAGAGTGTATTAATCGAAAGATGTAATCTATCGAGATGCTTAATGAGATGCCTAGCTACATACTTGAAAGTTCTTGAATCTTTGGAAACTCATTTTCATACAGCCTAAACCAAACCACATTACAACCTTTACATTGACTGTTTTGATCTCAAGTATGATTGTGGTAAAAAAGTGATGAATTCTCATTTGACAGTATGCCTATCATAAGATCAATGTTCGCTTGTTGCTCATTCAAAAACATTTAATCCTCCAAATTATGAGTGTATCCTTTTCTCTCAGCTCCATAGAGAGAATCACACTAAACACTTTGATACCCGTGAGTTACGGGGTTTAACCTTTGGCTCGAGGTATACTTGATGCTACATGTGTTAGGATTGGTGGTAAGATAGCTATGGCTTGACACACACTCACACATTTGGCAAGTGTTTTTGATATATTGATGATCATGGCATTGTTAATTTATTGTGGTGTTGAGTTTGAAACGGACATGGCATGTGGTTAAATTGGAACTTAATAATGTCTTTATATCATGGACCAATAACTTATTTGCTCATTTTGCATTAAATTGCTAGGGACTAGCAATAAGCAAGTTTGGGGTATGATAAGAGTGCAAAATATTAGGGTTGGGCAAATTTCTAGAATCGAACCGAACCCCACGGTTCTTGTCAAATTAAATACCTGAACGGGTATCTGTATTGAGAACTGACGAGTACCGTTCGGTTCTCGGTTCTAGACCAAGAACCGAATCTTTCTAATTTATTTTTTTTATATTGAATAAATTAAATTATTTTAATTTTAATTTTTTCTAAACAAATTAACAATTTCTAAATCCAAATTTTTGGCACAATAATCTATTTCATTTCTAATTTTTTGCCCAATTACCCCTTTTATTGTCTCATTTCTTAGCCCAACAAGATCCAACTCACTAAATAACCCTAAACACCTACACTAAAGTGCATAACGCTATCTCGACTCTCGCAGTCTCCCTGACATTCCAAAACCTATACAATCGTCGACCGACGCTGCGACCTCCGATCGAAGTTGTGACCTCCTCTAACTGAAATTTTGACCGTAGCGATCATTTGAACAAGGTAGTCTACGAGTTTCTGACATTTCAAAACCATTGAATGTGTCATTAGTTGTATTTATATAATGTTGTTATAAATGTTAAAAAATTTAATTATAGTACAAAACCGAACCGAATCGAACCGAACTGAACCGAACGGAACCGAACCCGAACGGTTCTATAATTATATTTGGACCTGACGGTTCCATTTACTGAATACCCGAAATTTTTGGTTCGATTCGATTCGGTTCTCTTTAGAACAAAATCGAACCGACCCGTGTCCACCCCTACAAAATATCATAATTTTCCCCTCTTAATTATTGCATTCGTGTTATTATTTGATACCAAAATATACTCATTATACTTATACTTTGATTCAGGTAACATTTTGGTAGAAAAGTTGAAATTTAGTAGAAAAGAGCGAAAGGACCATAATGGACGAAAGTGAAAGTTCAAGGACAAAGTTGCAAATAATCGATAATGAGACGCGCGATGGAATGATGATTCAAGAAATCTAGGAGTCAATTGGGTGTAATTTGAGGTCAAAAGAAAAGAAGTGCAATATGACCATAACATCTTCACAAATTAATTCCCAATTGAAAAAGTTATGCACTGGTTCTCAGTCTCATGTTAAGACCCGTTTTTGAGATGGAAAATGATTTAATTGGAAGATGATTTTTGAAGCAAAGTTGTAGCCCTTTGAGTTAATTTTTCAATACAACTTGAATCACCTCAATCGAACGTTTGGAGAGAAAGTTATGGTCAAAATACTAAAAGCTATCTGGCGGAGGAAATGGTGACAACCATGCGGTCGTATGGTTATAAAGCCATGCGGTCGCACGGCTGCTTTCATAGAACTTCTGGGGCCATTTTGGTTGAACCATGCGGTCGCATGGCTTATAACCATACGGCCACATGGGTATTTTTCAAGAGCGAAATCTCAAATTCCTATTTTGATGCGGACACTTATGGAAACTTGTTTGACACACATTTTTAAGCCCTAATCTCGCCCAGAACGCCATTCTTCTTCTCCACATCAATCACTCTCATCTTGGGTGAAGAAACTCCATGGAGGGCTAGAAATCCATGGTGAAATAATAGAGGAACTCAATTGGTATCGATTATTTCAACGTTTTTCATGCTTGTAATATGATCTCCATTGCTAAACAATTCTAGATTTGGATTTCTTGTTTTTATAAATATGTTTTGAGATCGGTTTAATATATATTAGTTTTTCATGGATTTAATCATGTTCTTTCCTTTGAATAATTGAAGTATGAATTGAATTTTAATTTCAAGCATCGTTGTGAGATTGATTTAACTTCTACTATATTTCGCATAGATTTAGTCATGTTTTATCTATCGTAAAATTAACATAATTGTTAAATTTCAATTTCAATTATCTATTGGTATGATTCTCTATAATTTTATGCTTGATGTATAAGGTGGATTTTGAGTCTGATTTCAATAAATTAAAGCGGGTATATGTTAGGAACTCCATATTTTAGAATTACTATAGAATAAAATTGGGCCTTAATGTTATATTCGCCAATTAAAGTTTGATAAAAAAAATCTTTAATTGAGTACATGAATGCATGATTGATATTGAATGATCCGAACCAATCGAGAGAATCCCGACGCTTCACTATTTCATACTTTGATTCAAATCCTGTAAATTCACATATTAACATTTGAACACATTTCAAATTGATATATTATCTGTTACACAACTCACAATGAAAATCCTAGTTTTTTGGACCTTTTAATTAATTTCCCATCTCCATATGGATACGACGCCTCAAAGTTATACTACAATCACCGTGTTACACTTTGGGCATAATCAGGATCACCGATTATATAAGCTATAAGACCAACTGACCTACCATGACACATTAGGGCACTCGTAGAGATGGACTGCCCAGCATTAGAATATGGATTGTAATTTGATTTTTATTTTTATTTTATTCTTATTTTTGTATTTAATTGGATTATTTCTTAATGTAAGGAAAGTAGTACTTCCTCTTTTACTACTTATTGTTATTCTTTAACATTTATTTTCATTGTAAGGGAAGTAGTACTTCCTTATTTACTACTTTCATTAGTTTCACATGTAACCACGGTATTCCTCTGCCATAAGTGATGACATATTAATAAAATCTCAGAGGCACTGCTCTTCTTTACCTAAAAAAATAAATTAATCTGCTTCTGAAATCCTCAGATCTTTCATATATTACTAGTATTGTATGATGTGTTGGTCATACACTCCATCTTTTAGCCTCCTCAATAGCTAACCTCCTCCGAAAACTTCTCCTACAATAAGCCTTCTTGTGCATCGCCACTTTCACTGCCTTTTCAGCACACTGTAGCAGGTTTTTGACACCGAAAGTCTGCTACTGTTATTGTGGAAATCATTCTTAACACGATCCATTTCATTTTTTCTTGATTTATCCTACACTAACTTTTGTATTCCTAATTTTTGCCCGCAGATAGACATTCTTTGCTGTTAAAACCTTTAATCTTTTTTTGTTATCTCCTGTATTATTTTTGCCATAGATATTTTCTTCAGTAAGTGATGTTGCAGTATAGGAGATATGTCATCTTGCACTTCTATTGAAGGTTCTTCTTGTTGCCTTTTCAGATTAACGTCACTGTTCACTGGACAAACGCTACACTTTTTGACTTTTACATCAATTACCTTCATTTCTTCTAGTTTTTCTTTGAACTGGCTAATTTTCTCAGATCTTATAGATTTCAAGGCCTTTGTAGCTATAAGAGAGTTTTCGTAGTTTACGTTGTTCAAAGCTTCCCAGAGACAACACCAATTTTTTGATGTTAAAAATCGAATCAACAAATCATC